GTATAACTAGCACATATCCTAACGAAACAAGTTTTATCGAAAGTTTATTATTATGATATTAGTTGAAGTATGATCAAATAGCATAGAAAAATAGAGCTTTCTTTTCTCTATCAGACTGTATAGAAAAGAAACTATCGAACCCTCCTTTGAAGGATTATCATACCTCCGCAACTACTTTTGGACTGACCTAAGTATTTTCGAAACGTCGAATTTTAAATAAAAATTGAATAAGAGGATTGGAATTGAAAATAGCTGCTATTATCATCTCTATAGTTTTAAAATTCTTACCCGTTAATAAGTGTAACATTACGAAACACAGAGTTCCACACACCGCATATGGCTCACAGACCGTCCTAATCCTAATTCCACCAGAATTCTGAACTGCATATTCTCATAAATTGACAATTCCAAATTTCTGGAATTTTAAAGTGATGGTCGATTGAGATATCTAGACTTTTTTGCAACATTTCGAATACTTAGAAGTTTTCGAATTCCAATGAATATTTATTGCCTTTTCTCAGCAATCAATAAACAGAATACCTCTATACTTCTCTCAAGTCAGTTCTTTTCTGTTTTCCACATAGTTCCATCACATCTAACAGTCGTTTCATCGACATCGGAAACGATGGAGTGCTATACTATAAACATAAATAGTACCATCACATCCAAGTGTGACACTGTGACGTTTTTGACATAGTAACTCTCTTTTTCAAAAGCTATACTTGCAAAGGGGCTGGTTCTGGCGTTGTTTTACGCAGATCAGTCTGTTGTGTTTGTGTTGTAGAAATTAGAAAATTTGACTTGAATCTCGGGCTGATAAATAAAGTTTTCGGCTTTTCGACGCTCAGAAGATGCGTTTTTAAAAGTTGACGCTGTGACACACTTTTTGCTCGGTGCATTTTCTGGCTCTCAGCGTCCTCAAAAAAGTTTTTTTATATACTTGTCGGGCATATAAGCATTTTCTAGCGATTTTCGCAAAACTTGGAGTTGGAAACTTTTTTGTCCAGTCTAAAAGTTGGCTGAAACTTTGAAAGTTCTAGAAAGCATAGGTTTGCATCCTAAAATCCACTTTCAAAACAAAATGAGCCATTTTGTAGAGAAGTTGATTCTCCATCGAATGGTGTAATTTTTAATTCATTAAAACAAGATTTCGAGCTCAAAAAAGTGAAGTTAAACTTTTTAAAATATTTAGATCTGAATTTTCTTGCTGAAAATTCAAATTTTATTTCTCAGGAGTATCAAATTCGTAATCAGCGCGAAACATTGCGTCTAGTGATGTGCTCTGATCGGTTCTTCAATAAAAATACAACCGTAAAAACTTAATCAGGGAAATGTTGCGTTACGTGGACAAGCTGTTAGCTGGCCGTTCTGTCCATGCTGTTCTATGATTAGTCTGAAGACTCATAGTAAAGGGATCGCTTGAATCACTGTGATTCACGTTATTTATTTTTACATAGAGTGACTTTCTCTCTCATTCCCGTTTTAAATTAGCAGAAAATCATCTATTTCGATCGAATCGAAATGAACTGCAAAAAAATGAATCAGTTACATACCCGATGTAGTTGTTGTTGCGACAGCCGCGGTGACCGTAGTCGAATTTTGTGGTGGACATAGCTGTGTAGAAGCAAATGCTAATGGATAACAGACGGGCTGTTGACACCGTGTATTATTAACACAAATTGTATTTGGTATTGAACATGTAATATTATCTAAATTACATCTGATAACATTCGAGCATGCTAGATCTGCTACAGCACAGATTCCCATTGTTGCATTGCTCGTCAGTGTAAAACATTCACAATCCAAATTTGAAGAACATAATGATTTACCACCAACACTACGGCTACCACATGCTGATGGCAGACAAGTTGAATTACCATTTGTTGGAGTTAGTGTTGCTGGAAAAGAAATGAGAAAAAGAACAGACTTCTCTTAGTCTAAGAAAGAAAATAAAACAAGTCTTACTTGTTTGTTGACCATTGGATACTCTTTTACAAAAATCAAAGAGAGGGAAGAGTTCATTAGAAAGACAATAGTGAATAGAGCAACATCCATTGTACTTACAAAACCCACAGAAAAAGAGTTAACACACTCATCATCAAATGTTTAGCTTGTTTTTAGCCGTTTTGTTAAAATGTCTTTGTCTTTCAAAAATGAAAATTCAAAATAAAACTGGTATATCCTATATGAAGCAAAATCATATTTACTGCTCTGCTTCAAAAACAATCGATATATATTTCTTTTATTATTTCACATAGCTACCGAGAGTTTCTTTCTTCTGTTTGAGCATACTTGAGAAATTTTCTTTTCATCAAATTAATCACCTAAATGCATGAGTATATAAGATGAGTTATCTAAGCACATGGTTTATTTGTTCAAAATTTACTTATAATCCTGACTATTTTCTTTTTTTATGAATATATATATTATCTGGATTCATTACAACTCTATACACAAAAAAAGAGGTGTCAATTTATTAAGAAAGTAAATCTAATTTACCTTCGATTTAGTCTGAAAGACTATAGACAAATTACGCTATTTGCAAGTTTATTCAATAACAAACAAAAAACTGAAAATCGCACAAACTTAACCACCACTGTAACACAGCAAAAAACTAGCTTCTCATGCAACGATACATTGCTTTTCAAATAGAGATGGGAGAAGGTACAAAGTTTGTCCCGAGATGTTTAATCTATGAAAAACTTATACTGCTGGATGACTGAATATGTCGTTTAGTTTCTTATTCACTTTGGTCCTTCTAGTCTTTTACTCCCTTTACTATTTTAGTCCTTTTAGTCGCTTTGTAAGATACAAGTCCTAGTCAATAACAGTTTGACTATATATGTTAGAATACAAATTTACGCATTTCTTCGATACAGACACACGCGCAAAGTTATGTGTGTGCGTTCGAAGCTCGATGTGAGCGAACCCGAAAAGTATTTCCATTCAATTGCGTAGAAAAATATAGGCAGTAAAAACAGTAAAGGCAGTAAAAGACTAAAGGCAGTAAAAGAGTAAGGGCAGTAAAAGACTAAAGGCAGTAAAAGAGTAAGGGCAGTAAAAGACTAAAGGCAGTAAAAGAGTAAGGGCAGTAAAAGACTAAAGGCAGCCGAGAGATATCATATTTTGTTCAGAATTCTTTACTCCATCAGCCTATATGATTTGCAAAAATGTTCTGACCAATAACCAAAGACCTGGTATTCTAGCGATCTGGGTTTTCAGAAACCCTATTATCAAGTTTTCTCATATAATGGCGATATGCACTTCATCTGATAAAAAAAATCTTCGGGCCGAAACAATTTTCAGATTGGTTCCAGCTTTTACTGAAAAATCAGAAGAAAGTTCTTATAATTATGACACGTTCTACTGCATATATAACACCCAAACGCTTCTTTTGCATATCTTTAATGACTGGCCCAACCTATCTAGATTTTCTGACCAGTCCAATTTGTAGGAAATTTCACGGGCTATCCGACTGCATCCCTGTGAAAAATATTTAGTTTTTCATCAGGATAGAAAAAACTTCTAAAAGAGTATTCTGCAGCTGTTTTACGGAGTCCAACACGTTTTTTGCATGTCTCTGATAACTGACCTAACTAGTCAAGGTATTCTGACTAGCTGAATTTGTAGAGAATTTCAAGGGCTTTCCAATGAAATATTTTTGAAAGATATATAATTTTATATCTCATCCTAGACAAAAAATATTTGTAAAATCTTATAAGAATCTTACACAATTCTTATATAAGATCTTCCACGAAAGTGACAAGAATTCTACTGAATCTTATAAGAATCTCACAAGAATTCATAAGAAATTGATAAGAGTCAGCAAAACTCGTACTTTATTGTTATAAGATTCTTGTCGGCGTGGCCAGCTAACGGTCCACCTTCGGATGCGAAGGTTCGAATTGTTGTTTTAACTTGAGCAATGCTTAAAAATACATCATTAGACGCAGTTTTTCACGCTGATTACGAATCCTTACTTAAAAACAAATTAAAATTAAATTTTCATAGCGAAAATTTAAATTTAAAAAGTTTTAAATTTTAAATTCAATTTCCTGACCTAGATATTTTTTCCAAAAATTACGGAAACTATACCATCGGACAGAGAATCGAATTCTCTACAAAATGCCTTATTTGTTTTCATGTTTGGATGGGAAAATGTTTTTTTGATTTTCTGAAAAACGTTTCCGCGCTTATTTTGTGAGCAGTTT